TTTGGGAGCAACACCTCAATGGTTTTGTGTACTACATTTATTGTTTTGTTTTCTTTCTATTTACAGTGTGCATGTGGTTTCTCTATTCTTAACCTTGTTGAATGCATGATAATAAAATTTTTTATTCTGATAGTTGAGGTGTTTCTTACTCCTTTGCTTAGCATTGCTTTATAAAGTAATTGTATGATGATTTTGTAACATTTTACAGCATAAATTAAACTGTGTATAAAGAATGGTAACTCATTGGAATTAGTTCTTTGAAAATCATTTATTGGAATCGGATGGAATCTAGGAAACCTAATTCTGTTTCATTGAACATATGTATTTCTGCAACCCATGTGAAGAGTCTTTAAACTAGTCTACTATCTGCCAAATCAGTGCTACTCGGTCACTTTAAAGGAAACCATCACTTTCTGACCAAAATAAAAGGCTCTCTGTGGGGAAAATTGTGAAATGACTTACCTCAGAAACGCATTTGAATCTGTGCAGTGTGCAAACTCCGGTCCTTCCAATGGCAAAAGAAACCAAAATGGCGGCGCCCATATTTTATGCCGGGTGGTCTCGGTTAGTTAACGCGAAATCTCGTTGTCTCGTCATTCGCATGCAAATCGTGGTCAGTCCATGGCTGTATAAAGCAGGCTCGTTTTGTTGTTTGAATCAGAGCTTTTCGCTCGTGGAGAAGGTTGGACGTCTGACACCGGTTTCTTTTGTTCCTACCTGCTATCATCAGTTGAGTTGTTGCGTTACCTACCACAAGCTATTTTGGCCATGGACAAGTTCGATCTAAAATTGATCCCAGAATTGACGGCTCCCCGCGGGCCCGACTATCGTCGAATGGTTTGAGAAGGCCGGACGTGTTTGCAGGGTGTCCAAAATAAAGGAACCTGCACTAGTCATCCCACTGAGACTCACGGGAGGAGCCTACACCATATATCAACAACTCGGGGACGATGCTGACCTAGAAGAGATCAAGGACGCCTTGTATACGGCCTTTGGAATAGACCCCTTCATCGCTTGGAAACAGTTCGTCGGACGACGGCTCAAGCCGGGTGAGACCATGGATGTCTACCTGGCTGATTTGCGAAGGCTGGCAGTACCGTTTGGCGGAGCAACGGACCGCATACTGGGGTGCGCCTTCCTGGCAGGACCTGCGAGTGTCTTCAAGATTGGACACACTGGGAATTGACGAATTGCTAGCCAGGGCCCGAAACATCTTGAAGGACATGGAACAGGTCACAGCAGCCGTGAGAACGCCTGAGACACCGCAGGAGGGCCCAAAGTGCTACAAGTGCGGTAGACCCAACCATTTCTCTAGGGACAGCCGGAGCCGAAGTGACGTAGGAGGCGGGAGCAGCAGACGGAACCGAGCACGACTATACTGCTATCGCTGCAAAGAGTTAGGCCATGTAGCAGAGGATTGCTCAGGAAACGAGTCCGGGGACAAGGTGCTGTCGCAACCCTTACCCCCTCTCAGTCAGTAAATGCAGCATTGTCTGTTGTCAACGTGTATGCTGAGGGTAAACGATGTTCGGCGCTCGTTGACACTGGATGTTCCCGATCGATCGTTAGTGCGGATCGATGCATGACATGGAGCAGTCAACAAACCGAGATTCGGACGATTGACGGAGTGTCCTGGGACTGTTGTGGTGTCAGCACTGTATCAGTCCTCACAGACGGAGGGAATCATGCCAAGGTCGACGTTTTGGTGGCATGTCAAAGGCCCCTCGGGTACGACCTGCTGCTTGGGATTGATGCGATCCGAGCGTTAGGAGGCATGATGATCACGCCAGCCGGAAATGTGGAACTGGGAAAAGGAAGAAAGGTGTGTGCAGCCATTTGCATTAGTGAGCCGGATTTCAACGTCTCTTTCAATTCCGATGAGAGGGTGTAGACCGCCAGGTGGAAATGGGCCCAAAAAGACCCACCAGTTCAGCTTCGCAACAAGGTTGCAGAGTACAAAGTTCCTGACAGCATCAGAGGAAAATACGAGAAAGAGCTTCAGCAGTGGATTGTGAACGGCTGGTTGATTCCGTACCCCCAGGAAAGACTGGGAGCCCCAAAGGGTCTGATTCCCTTGATGGCAGTCGTGCAGGAGCAGAAACAGAAGGTGCGTCCGGTACTCAATTACCGCGAATTGAACGACTTTGTGGGTGCTTTTACTGCCGATGCAGAAGTGTGCGCACATAAGTTGAGAACGTGGCGGTGGCAGGGGGTCAATGTGTCGCTTCTGGATCTGCGGAACGCATATCTTCAGATTCACATCGACGAAGCACTGTGGCCATTTCAAATGGTTATTTTCAAAGGCCAATGCTTCTGTCTTACGCGGCTAGGATTTGGGCTAAATGTAGTGCCACTCATCATGAAATCCGTTATAGACGGCATCGCATCGCAAGACCGCACAATTGAAAGTGCCACATCAGCATACGTTGATGATATCTTCATGAATGAAAGTTTGGCCTCTGCATCGCGTGTAAGACAACACTTTTCGGATTACGGTTTGGTGTGCAAGGATCCGGCGCGACTGAGAGATGGAGCAAGAGTTCTTGGTTTGCAGGTCTGGGAAGAAAATGGCACCCTCCGATGGAAACGAGGAAGTCAAATTCGAAAGTCCCTGATGTGTTGACCGGGGCGCCATTTTCATTGTGTGGGAAACTTGTTGGACATTTCCCAGTGTGTGGATGGCTCAGGGTGGCAGTTGCATTCGTCAACTGCCTGGCAACCGCAGCAACCAATGGATGGGATGATAACATCAAAGATCCCTCTCTCTGTCGCATACTAGCAGAGATGTTAAGTAGAGTGCGGGAACTGGATCCCGTTGGAGGAGACTGGTGCATGAGTGGTGATGAGATCACAGTCTGGGTGGATGCGAGTTCCATGGCGACAGGAGTGGCATTGGAAGTAAACAAATGGCTGTGTCCGACTAATGATGCCAGGCTGAACTCGATGCGGCGCTTAAAGGAGTGAATCTAGCTCTCCAGTGGGAGATGACAACATTGCACTTGGTTACTGATTCGGCATGTGTGCACCGGTAGATTTCAGACACCTTGACCAGGAAGGCACGGGTGAACACAAGGGCGGCTGGCGAGATGCTGGTTAGGCGACGGCTGGGCATTTTGCAATCGCTGGTGGAAGAATATGGATTGACCATAGACGTGACACTCGTACAGTCCTATCAGAACCGTGTGGATCGCCTCACCAGAGTACCGCACAGGTGGATAGAACTGCTCAAGAGAGGAGAACCAGCACTCGAGAGCTGTGCAGTGGTCGGGAGACAACTGGACGAGGACCAGGTTGCCAATACCCATCGTCAATGCGGACATCCGGGTGTGAAACAAACTCTGTACTTCGCCAGGTTAGTCGACCCGCATGTGTCCAGAGAAAGCGTTAAATCCGTTGTGAAGGCCTGCAGAACCTGTCAGTCGATCGATCCGGCCCCCGTTCACTGGGAAAGAGGAGAACTGAGCGTGAAGAGCAACTGGAGCAGACTGGTGATGGACATAACTCACTACAATGGTGAGAATTTTTAACGCTTATTGATTGCGGTCCCTCCAGGTTTGCAGTATGGCGGCCGCTGCACAGACAAGACGCAAGCACCGTCATTCAACTGTTGGAGAATGTTTTCCTGGAGCGAGGCCCACCCGTGGAAATACTGACGGACAACGATACTGCATTCACCAGTAAAGACTTTAAAGAATTTGCGGACAATTGGGACGTGCATCTGCGGTTTCGATGTGCCTACTCACCAAGTGGAAACGGCATCGTGGAGCGGAACCACAGAACCATCAAGACCATCGCAGCCAGGAAGGGCTGTACAGTATCGGAGGCGGTTTACTGGTATAATGTCGCCCCGAAAGATAACGTTTCACCATCCACAGTGCCGGCTGATGCACTGCACAAATATCATGTCCGTGTGAAAGGCATCGAAGCCAACCCGCTGCTTGAACTAGAAGTGACTGGAGGAGATTGAAAAAAAGAGACGTTGTTTGGGTCAAAAACCCACGGCAAGTGTGTACGACAAAATACGGCACTGGACGTGTTATGGAGGTGATCAGCCCACAATCTGTGAGAGTTGATGGGGTGCCTCGTCACATTAAAGACTTGCGACCGGTGATGCAATCACTACCGTTACTGAGCGATGAAAGCGATTCCAAGTCTGAGAGTAGTGAGCGTTCAATCTGCCTTGAGTTAGACCTGCAGGGCAGTGATTCTGATAACAGCAGCCTCCCGGCGGACACAGTGTTTACCGACACTCAAACCAAAGACGAGAACACGCACGAGGATGAAGCTTGTGTTATCCCCCTTCGGAGGGGGACTCGACGGCGACAATCGCCACATCCTTGCCCTGTTTGTGATCATGAGATCAGGGGGGAGTGTGGGAATAATTGTGAAAACGGCTTACCTCGGAAACGCGTTCGAATCTGTGCAGTGTGCAAACTCCGGTCCTTCCAACGGCAAAAGAAACCAAAATGGCGGCACCCATATTTTATGCCGGGCAGTCTCGGTTAGTTAACGCGAAATCTCGTCTCGTCATTCGCATGCAAATCGTGGTCGGTCCGCGGCTGTATGAAGCAGGCTCGTTTTGCTGTTTGAATCAGAGAGCTTTGCCTTTGAGAAGGTTGGACGTCGACACGGTTTCTTTGTTCCTACCTGCTATCATCAGTTGAGTTGTTGCGTTACCTACCACACTCTCTTTAGAACAAAAAGTGGTAAAAATATTAGCCAATTTTTGTTCATTTCATTTGACAGCCTGTTTTTTTTTCTACTGTGGGGTGGGGGGGCAGTAGAGATAACTGCACAAATTGAAGGATAACAATCACAAAGAATATTTACTTTTTCAATTTAGACCTCAGCACTTTGACTATTGCAATGTGCATTCATTCATATTTGTTGATAAAAAACAACTTTGAAAACATTTTACTTCTGTATAAATAACATTTAAATCATTGATACACATGGAATTTCATGTAAAGTTAAAACTTTTTTTTTTTTTTTTTTTCTAGTGTGTCCTTTATTCAACAATTCTTGTGAAAAATGTGTCCAATCAGCAAAAGTAAGTATAAGGTTATTCTTTCTTTTGTAAATATATTGTTGTAATGTATGACAATAGTGTGTTGATATTGGCAGAAACACCTAATCAATTGCTCTCCCAGCAACTACGGGGTAATATGCAGAGAAGGGAAAGAGACAGAAGGTAACAAAAATAACACTGCCTCAGAAACCAAAACACAATGTCTTGCTAACTGCTGGTTTTCCTGTTGCTTTTTTTAGATTGAGGCATCTTACAAAGTAGGCCTATATCTAGACATGCCAAGTGGTGCTGTTGTTAATGGAGAAAGCTCAGATGTAACTGGAGTTGACAAACATGTTTGCATGCCATCCGGGGCATCTTTTGCATCTGTACCAACACGTGTTCACCATATATATTTAAAACAGATTGTAGACTATAACTTATCTCTGAAAATGATTCTGCAAAAATGCCCAAAATTTCAGAAATTTGAAGGCAATTGAATACTCTGCATCTAATTCAGTCTATTGCATAATAGTAATCATATAATGGCATAGTTTCAGGAGGGTTTGCAACATATGCTGCAAATTTTCCAGTGTCTATTATGGCCCACCAATGAGAGGAAATATTTGCCACATTGACTGTAAGAGAAGATCTGTCAGTCTGAATGAAGTTTCAAACTTATATTACTGCTTTTTCTCATCTATTTCTGCTTTGCAATTACCTTGTCAGTTAAAGAGTCTCTGTTGTCCACTGATAACTGATGGTACCTTGATTCTATAGTTTATATAAATTCTATTTTTAAGGATTCCTTGTAGCTCTAGAATGGAGACCTCACCTCTCTCACTCATGTATACATGCTTCTACCAACCAGAAACCAATTCTCCAAACAAAAGGGCATTTCTTAAACAATAGTCTTATATTATTAGCCATTGCAAGTGATTTTCTTTTCAACATAGCCTCAGTGTTTGTAGGTCTATGTGACTTGAAGATTTTGTCATTAATCATGAAATCACTCCAGTACACCAAGAGAATGATGCAAAGACAGTGCTGGTGGGTGCACTAAAGTCAAGATGGCACTGGTATCTGAACAGCCTGATCAAATGATTAAACTTTTTTTTCCTTGAATGGCGTCATGTTCAAGCCAAGAATATTTCAGTAACCTCCTTATTTTAATATTTATTTAGTTTCAAGAATTTTTTCTTAAAAAATACATTATTTTTAAATACAGAATTACATCAGATTAAAAATATTATGTCATTCTCTTATTAAAGAGTGACTATAACAATCTTTTATATAATACCTAAAAAATGAGTATCTATAAGTATGATCAAGTCAGTCACACTTCAGCTTTTATCAACTTTTACAAGTTCCTAAAGAACATGAATTTTTTTTTCCAGTGTCTCTATTGCTTCAAGGACAAAACATGCAAGCCTTATCCAGTGGGTAGCCTTTTACCCAGTTCTTCTATTTGTCCACTGAACCAGGCACACTGGAGCAAGTGCTTTAGTAAGTATCTTGTGTTTTCTTTGTTTCTGATTCCTATTAAGTGTCTCTTATACTCTCTTTTCACTGTCTTTTCATGTATGTGCTTGTGATAAAAATGGACTTGTTTATAGAATTACGGAACTTACACATATTGCATATACATTTCTGCCTGCTTTTGTACCAGGATATTGGGCTTTGTCAAAATGCAGACAGGTAAGATTGTCAATTCATGATTTTTCTATGCTCAAGAAATAAAGAATCTAATGCTAATGTTGTCACTTTACCAACTATGAATATTTGATGCATCATTTAAAACTTCCTTGGACCATTTATTTGCTTGTGTTCCAAAACTCAAGTAATTTGAATAAAGGTTTACATTTTTATTTACATGCAGATTATTGTCCTCATATAAATAATGATAACTCATTATCCCTGGAATTCAGACAGAAAATGTACTTTTTTTGTTTGATTATAAATCGGTTATATATAGATTATAATCGGTTATAGTACAATCCCACTTTGTGAATAGTAAATGCAGGCTTGTCTTTGTACTTGATCACTCAGACTGGATATTGTTAATTCCCTAATGTTGATTTATAATTTTATTGTCACTCAAGGACCTCCCCTATGTTTAGCTATTTTTAATATTAGTTAGTATTTTTCATAAGTCATAAGTATCTAGAGTCGATGTTTTACTTCTAACAAGATGGAATAAAGCAGGAATATTATCTGTTGCTGACCCTCTGACTTCATATTCCTATAACACAAAATTAGATAAATTTAAGTTTTCATGACCAAAAGTAAAACAGTGTTAAACCCCGTCTGTACATAGATGGTGGGAGGGCTGCTTGGGAACTCTGAGTACTATAAGTAACTTCCTTAATTAAAATTAACATTTTAATACACATATTAGTGATTAAATTATAAATGGTGGGAGGGGTCTTAGACTGCTACAATCTTTCACAATCCCAAATATTTGACTTTAAATAGCCCACAAAGGGTTGATAAGCTGTAAAAAACAAATCAATCAATTTTTTGCTGAAATAATCAGGAACACTTACAAGTCTCCAGGTTTGTGATTATATAAGCAAGATAAATATTTTTGTATTTTTTTTTTTTTTTTTTTTTCAGTCAACTTTGAGGCCTTGTTAATTGCCATGGGTGTTCTAGCTTTACTGCTACTGTTCTCCTTGTGTATGTGTATCTATTGTTGTTGCTGCCGAAAGAGTGATCGCTTAAAGTAAGTCATTTTGATCACATTTCTTAATATTTCTACATTTAACTGTTTCACTAAAGAGATATTTGCTATGTTTTTGAAGCAGTTTACTCTGCAGATAAATTTGAGGCTTTAAGCCTAACAATTTATCACTTTTGATTGAACCTCAGAACTCTCAAACACCAGGCTTTTGTTCTATCACTGAACCAAACTTATAAACTTGATTAAAGTAATCTATATACTGACTTCTTTGAAATGAAACAATTCTATTATTATTTTTAATTTTTTTATGCTCTTTGTTTGCTTTTTGCCACTTTCTGTTGATGGTCTATTATTTATTTGATGTAAACACAGAGGGAGGGGAGAGCACTCTGTCTTTCACTGACTGGTCAAATAACACAATGGCAAGAAATTAAAATGCAAATCTTGTTTACATTATATTGGTTATTAATTGGGAATAAATAAGTGACATTTTGGACAACTTTGCTTGCTATATCTGTCTTCTCTTATTACAGACTAAAAGACCAGATATTTCCTTCAGTGACCAATGAGGACTCCATCTCTCTCTTGACATCTCTTTACCCATCTCTATATCACCACATGTAGCTCACAACACACAAATGTGCTGTTCAAACTATTCATTTCTAAATGTGGCTCTGCTTATATAAACCTGCAACCAGAACTTCCTAACTTTCACTTGACCCTGAAAGTTTTTAATTCACTTCCCTTCAGTTTAATTGTGGCCACTTTGAATGTCTTAGTTTACTGCCTACACAAAAATTATAAAACTTAACCCAGATAAAATTATTTATGTCCCACTTGACTGTGGATGTGTTCTAAGGTCCCACTTGTGTCACACTGAAAAGTCCAATAAATATAAATGGCTACTATCAATCACCAGCTTTTATATATAAAAACAACTAGCTTGAAAAAAGTTTGGATTTTTGTCTAAATCTAATGTCATTTCAGAACATAGATGATTATGGCTCTCCAGATTATTTTTTCTCTATTATCTGTTAATTACCATGATCTCTTGCAAAAGATACTGGAGTGCTCTCCTGCTGCCTTCTCCATGATTTTGAATTCAGAGTACTTCTCCTCAATTACTGCCACCCAAGGTGAAAAAGTTCAGTCTATCCTATAGCTGAAAAAAAAAAAGAAATGCATCAGTTGTGATATAATTTATTGTTTAAACAATATTGGGAGTGAGTGATAATTTATTTTCTTTTTCATGAAATTGAGAAACAATCCTTTATAACAATATTCAAACAGTCAACTGAAAGTGTTTATCTTAAAAAACTCTGAATAACTTAAAATTCATGTATAATAGCTAAAAATATTTTTGAATATTTTCAGTTAGAAAATAAAAATGGAAGTTGTATTTTTGTGAAGATATTTTGACCAAATTTTGCTTGACTGGAAAAATAATGCAAATGTTTTTTATCAAATGAATTGACATTTTCATTCTTAATGTAAGTCATCTGTGACAATAGATTGCACTTATATTGAAATGTCAATGTTTGTTTCTACTTCAAATTTATCAAAAATTAACTTTTCTTTTTTTTCTGTCAGTGTCTAAATTATAATACACATTAATGATTGCATTATAAATGAAGTGGGAGGCTTTGAATGTTGTAAACAGTCTATCACATTTGAAAATTACAATATATAATTCATATGATATAGTAAGTAAAAAGTTATAAATCAAAGAATGGCTTGTGATATGTATTCAGTAATACTTGGGAAAATTTTGTTCATTTTAAAATATATATATATATATATATATATATATATATATATATATATATATATACTGACAAAATTTGTCCAATTGTTAGATTAAATTTTCAACCGTTGTATCTTAGAAATGATTAAATATATATTGCTGGAATTCTTCAAGGTTTTTATAACACTATTGGACTCTGCTTTGAACAATAAGTTTGTATAATTACTCTCTAAGCTTAACAGAAGAATCGTGATGAAATCAATCATAAATGAAAATAACATGTTCATCATTAATTGATCATAGCTAAGGATCGGAACCTCATAAAGGATTGAAATAAGTCATATATATATATATTCCAGGATCATTTTCAAACTTATTCAAGATGATTTTCACCCTCTCTAACCTAACTTTTTATCCTGGAGTAACAAGATGCCTCACATGTTTCACATACAACTGCTCTTTGGACTGTCACAGGTGAAACTCCTCTCTGACATGCCAAACGTCTTATGGATTGAGTTGGATCTTTTCTAATTGATCTCTTAAGCTCTAAGTTGAAATGATCCCTCTTCCTGTTGTAACCTCCTGATCCCTTTTTCCTCTCTACTGTTCCATCTTTTTTAAACTTATTCACCATTCTCTTGATAGTTCTTGAATGGATTTTCAAGATAGAAGCCAGAGTATGAATATTAGCCTAAATGATTTTTATCCTTTCACCATTACTCAGTTGGAAAGACAGTGAGTCTGACAAAACGATTTTAATGTGTTCTCTTTCTAGCTGAATAACTCAAAGGGTTTTTCAGTGATTCTTACAAGATGGTTAAATGTCTAATCTAAAAACCTGGAAAAATAAACTCAGTTAGTTTAGTGTTTTTTTTTAGATATTAAACATTTTATAGGATGGCCAATTATGTTTACACAATTTGGATAATTCTGCTGTTACACCCTCTGTGTGTGTGTGGTGTGTGTGTGTGTGTGTGTGTGTGTGTGTGTGTGTGTGTATATATATATATATATATATATATATATATATATATATATATATATATATAAATATATATTTAAAAGGTAAATATAATTTATAAATTCATTCATTCAAAAAAAAAAATATAGAGGTTAATGATTTAAATGGTGAGAATACTTCGTCATGTAAACAATATAAATAAGATACATCAACCCCGAACCTGTATATGAATGATATGATCCCCGTTTATAAATTCCAGTTGCATAAGGTCTTTTTAATTTTTACAAGCTTTCGTCTGTTCCTAGGTATGGAAGTAGATTTTTGTTCTTGTTTTTACTTCTCAGTAATAAGAGGACAACGAAAATAGAGATGTAATCCGAAAAAAAATGCTATGTGTTATTGTTTTGAACGTGTGGTTTAACGCTGAGTTTGAATTTAAATTTTTAAGGTTCTGCGTTTTTGTAAAAATATAGCAATAAGAGAATTCTTTTTTACTGGTAGATAACACATTCTCGCCATTTAAATCATTAACCTCTATGTTTTTTTTGTTTTTTTTGTTTTTTTTTGTATGAATGATTCATGAATTTATAAAATATATATATATATAATTATTCTTGTCTTGAAACATTTCCTACCAGGTACATGGCTGAGGAACTAAAGTTTGAACACCAGAGAGAAGAGAGAAGACAAAGAGCTGCTGAGAGGTTAGTGACTTAAAATTATAGATTTTACAATCATATGAACAGGACTGGACTAAAAGCACTTACTGTAAATCTCCTGTGATACTACTGCTTCCACATTTGGAAATCTTTTGTGAAGTTATGTTTCTAGATTTCTCTTTATAATAAACTGTTCTTTTCTTGTATGATATTCTCATGTGGATATGTCCATGCTAAAATGTTTCCTGTTATACAGCTCACTACACAGTGAAGATAATTTTTTTTATTTCTGATATATTTAGTTTATCGCCTCTTTTCATTTGGTAAGTCCTTCAAAGAACTAAATAGAAAATGTCTTCTCTACTCAATGTTTCTATTGTTTTTTCTATTTGTTACCAAATGTATTACCTCACTGTATAATATAGTAAATGACTTTTTTTCATTTGGCAGTAAAGTTTGTAACTTTTTACTATACAGTTATCTCTTACATTAGCGATGACACATGACATTCTCTTTATGATAATAATGAAAGCCAGGAGGTAAAAAAAACAAACTCAGTATAAGAACAAAGTACATAAACAGTAGTAGGGGTAGCTAAAAATGTGTAGTCTTTTTGTGAAAATTTCTATTTGTAGTTCTGTTCATTAAAACCATTGTACTTAACGTCACAGAAAGTGTGCAGCAGTCAAGAATTTTTGTGACATTCACAAACCATGAGTAATCTAGACAGCTGAAATGTGTAGCAATAAAAATTAAAGTGTAATTCAAAATTTTCAAATGTAGAATTTCAAACTGTAGAATGCTACACAAAATGTGTAACATAACCAGGTCTGCCTTCAACACTTTGATTTCTTCACTGCTCTCAACTGATCCATGTAACAAGAATTATTGGAACCAGTTGTAGCTTTTCTTTTAACATCTGTCAAACTATTAAAAGATAAATCAGAAAGTTTGTGTTTTTAAAATTGGTGACCATTTACTTTATGCCAGTTTCAATCCTTAAAACTTAACATATTGCTGAAAAAGTCATGTAATGTATGTATGAAGTACTTCTCTCTACTGCATGTTTAACTTAATTACCTTAAATCAAGCTCAAGTATCTCATCACCATTAAAATCTTACATTTATTGCAATATATTTATTACTTGACCAATCTGTTAACTATGCTGACACTTGTGGTCTGACCAAGGACTGAACTCACCATTCTTGGCTAACAAATTTCTGAAGATATTAGACTCCCACTACTCAGCTTAATGAATATGTTCTAAGCAGTGGCAGTAGCATGTCTCACTTCTTTAGCCATTATTTCAGTTAACTGAAATTTCTCCTCCGGGAACAATTTTTTTATTTGTTTGGTGAAGTCCTGTCACTCACTTTATTGAGCAAGATCCTGTTTTAACAGTATCTGTGCATATATCCATTTTCTGTTTTAACCTTTTAATGCCAGCTAATAGAAACTATGGCAATTTTATCAAAAAATTTTATTAAAAGCATCTGTTTAATTTATATTTCTCTTTCAGACGTGCAGAAAGGCAGTCTAAAAATGATGAAATTCGTAAGAAATATGGTAAGCGTGTATTTTTTTATATCTGTGTAACGCTTGTGCATTTTTTCACACACATACACACACAAAATTTGTTTGCTTTACTGCCACATAAATCTGTAGTGTCGGTTTGTCACTGTAAATCTACCAGAATTAGTTCACTAAACAAACTATGAATAATAATAATAATACAGCATCTTTTACCCATTTTTGCATGAACCAGAGAAAATTTACCTTAGTTTTTCTTTCTCTTTTTTTTTTTTTTTAAATTCTCACTTCTTGCATCCAAAAACTTTCCAATATTCTTTGTTGTATTTGCATAATACCGAACAGTTTGCTTGCAGAAGAATCTATTTGACATTCGCAATATTAAACTGATTTGATCTAAGGGAGATAATCTTTTTCACTCGACAAAAATCATCTTTTTACAGTAGTATATTGACAGATTCATTTTAGATCTGGTAGGAAATCATGAATTTCAACCAGATTTAATTTTGAAAATCCTTGAAAACTGCATTAACTTCTCATTTCATCATGTTATTTTCAGTGAATATATATTTGATACACTTTATCAGGAATAGACAATAATAATCTCTAGCCATCTGCAAAAAGTTCTGATAGGTTAACATTTCTCTAAGAATTTTACTATAATTTCCTGTTTCTCATTTGACCCAATCTGAAATCATTTATTTGGTAAGATCCAAAATGATTTATAGATTTAAATTAATTCATATACACATTTATTAGTATTATTAAACTTAATGAACATGCTTAATTTACACCTTGAAGTATTTCTATAAATGTGACATCAATTCCATTTGGAATGTCTTCATTGAAACATTATAAAAATTGTTTATGTGGCAAATATAGTCTCTTATTAATTATTGAATGCTATTTCTTTCCTCTTATTTTCAGTTGTTTTTTCGAATAACTTCCAAATCCTCATTCTGCAATCTCCTCAGCACTTTGTAAAAAAAGCAAACCAATTAATCATTCAAATCTGGCCATAGAGCATTTATTCTCTTTCTTTTCCTAAATGCCCAAAATTTTATCATCTTTGTTTACATCGTATGTCTAACCTAAACAGCAAGGTAGCTGCCCTGTAAAAACTGGTTTTCAGTTCTTTATTTCAAATCTCTGCTGTTTATTAATGAGCATGGAATGAAAATCTGGAAATTACAATAAAAATTGATTGAAATTAAAATGAAAAAAATAGGATTTAAAATCAATAATTGTTGATGCTTCATCTATGACCTTCTGAGTAATATTACTAGGCACAAAATGTTTTACAGCAAAAATAATTACATGAATTTAAATACAAAAAGCTACTTCAAAATAAGAACAAAAAATATGTAAAACTAGCAGTAGAACCCAGCGTTACCCGGGGATGTAACAGTAAGAGATAGATCAAGTATCGACCATCATAAAGACTGAAAAATAAAATTGACAAAGATTATTGTTTAAGGTTGATGGACACGCATGTCTTAATTAGATTTTTTTGTTTTGTTTTTTTTTACGAATTGGTCAAACCCAAACTCAAACAAAAACATTGTTTTCAATCGTTATGAGTCTATCGATTGAATAGAATTTTATTATAAACAATTGTCTTGTAAATGGAATTTTTAAAGCATTCTGAATGTAAAAATAAAGAAAAGTTTGCAAGATAATAAGAAACACTACCTGCCAAAAGTTTTGTTGAAATCGGTTGAAAAATGTAGGAAATCCGATCCCATATATAAATGAACACACACACACACACACACAACCTGGGTTTTATAAGTATAAAACGATATGAGTTGTCCCCCTTTCATTCTACCGACAGAATCGTGTTTTCAAATTGATTTCGTGCAAAAACAATTGTATTTTTCCAATTTTTGGCCCTGTCAGAACCATCACAAGGTAATTTTACACAGTCCTGTGAAGTTTTGTTGAAATCGGTTGAAAAATGTAGGAAATCTGATCCAATATATAAACGTACACACACACACACTCTACATTTTATAATAAGTAAGATAAGATAAGATTTAAAACAAAATTGATGACCAATAAAGTAATTTCTGTAGATACTTTGTGAAAATCTTGCCATGAAGTATTAACTGATTATCAAAACTCTTTGTTGCTATTTAAATATGTTTAAGTTTTAATGTTAGACCACATTATATATTGTCTTTGCACTCTCTCTCTCTCTCTATATATATATATATATATATATATATATATATATAAACTATATATTGATGTCAATATATTTCATTAAACCATTATTGACAAACTCTGAAAGGTTTGTCACCTGCCCAAAAGTGAAAAAATAACACATATATGAAAGAAGGAATATAGTTTTAAGGTGTGCTATATTCATTGGATAAAGTGCTCAATATCAGAGATAGTGTATGTATATATAAATATAAAAGTGAACATTGAAGTCAACACTCAGAGGCGACAAACTGTTTCATGCTAGACGCAATTGTCAGGCCGTGAGTGTTGTATTTTTTTTCTTGACTTTTTATATATATGGGTCAGTGGTGCATTGTGGGTAATCCATTCCTGCAAAGTTTGCCTGGAGGAAAAAATAGCTATTGTTACCTTCCCAGACCAAAATAAATTACTAAATAGATGATCTCAGCTCATCTCAAAATGTAGACATGAAAACAAATTTTTACTATGTTACTCAAAAATTGAAAATAATAAATAAAAATAAACAAATAATATAAAAAAACAAGTAAAATAAATTAACCCAAGCAAATAATAAACAAATTAACAAACCACTCTCGTTAGAATAGACGAAAAAGAACAAATAAAAATAAATAAATACATAAAATACAAGTAAAAATAATTACAAATAAAGTAAACAATAAACAAATTAACAAACCTATAACTGTTAGAATAGACTACAGTAACCAATGCAAAAATTGGACTAGAAAATTGCTATAACTGCTATATAATGATATAAAAAAATACTAAGTTCCTCAAAAAATGAAAAACAAATAGAGTAAATAAAAAAAATAGAGAAATAAGAAAAATATGTAAAAATTAATCCAAATAAATAAACAAATTAACAAATCGTTCCCACTAAAATAACCGTCAGAACTAATAAAATTAAACATAAATAAGCAAAAACAAGTAAAAATAATCAATCCAAATAAATAAAATAATAAACAAATTAAAAACTGTCCCCCACCAAAATAACAGAATAGCAATTGCAATCAATCCAAAAATTGGACAAATAAATAGCTTTATCTGCCGAGACCAAAACTATTAAATAAGCAACCTAAACAAATCCCCCTTTAAATTTTTTTTTAACTATGTTAATAAAACATCAAAAACCGAAAAGAATAAATATATAGAATAAAATAAAAAATGAAAACAAAAAACAAGTAAAATAGATTTAGCCAAATCCTGCCAAAATAACCACCAGAATGGATTACCCAAAATGCACCACTGACCCATAAATATAAATAGTCAAGAAAAAATACAACACTCGTTGCCTGATGATTGCGTCTAGCATGAAACAAGCCTGTCGCTTTTGAGTATTGACTTCAATGTTCACTTTTATGTTTACATACACTCTCTCTGATATTGAGCACTTTATCCCATGAATATAGCACTCCTTAAAACTATATTCCTTCATTCATTCATTTTTATATATATATATATAAATGAATGAAGGAATATAGTTTTAAGGTGTGTGTGTGTGTGTATATATATATATATATATATATATATATAATGTGTGTGTGTGTTATTTCTCCACTGTTAACAGGTGACAAACCTTTCAGAGTTTGTCGATAAGTTTAATGAAATCTTACTTTTTTTCTGTTTCCCTTTCATCCAATCTGTGCAGGAATTGGATCAAAAGGTGAGTCTTTCTCTAACTGCAGCAACATTTCTTTGTTTCTTAATTTAGTTGCTACCCTAGTGCCACTTCTGTTCAATTCTATAATTCAATCTGTATATTTTGATATCCCTTGAGTCAACAATTGCTGTGAACTGACAACTTTTACATTAATTTAATTTGCATATTTTATAATGTACTGGCTGTTGGGGGGGGAACAGTTGTCTATGGCTAAATACTGATTCTGGTAATTCTCAAGTAAGTCTCAAGTTTACTGAAAACCTCTTTTTGAGCCTTATTTGTCATTGGATAGCTAGGATTTCTTTCTTATTCCTATTAATGGGTCTATCAAGAGGAAATTGGATAAAAGTATTAAATATAAGTATTCTACAAGATCCTGTTTACAGACATTTGGAGAATTCATTTTATAATAGGCTTATCTTTTAGTTTTCATTTTTTTATTTATTGTAGTTTTGTATATAAAGTAAAAATATGCATAAAACCATCCTTCAAAAAGATAAATTTTCTGGTATGCATATTCATTGAGATTATCAGAGAAAAATAAATATTAGAATATTTTCTCCAGTAATATTTAAAAGTAATTATTTAACTTTTTTTGTCTTTGTCTACTTTTAACCATCCCCCTCCACTGATCTCAATATCTAGAGTTGTAATTTGAAGTAAAACAAAAATTAAATTTTTATTGCCTTGGACCTATTCAATTTCAAATTGTTTTGTTTTTTTTTAACTCAGAAACACTTAGCATCAGTTGCTTCTGTCTTGCATTCTAACATTACTCTGTGCACTGCAGCTGTCAAGAAATTTTTTAGGTTGTCACAACTCTCATAAGAAATTTATCTCTGCAACCCTGGCATATATGTTCCTCATTCAAAAAATTTAAAAATTCAACGTTTACAAAATATACAGAAATAGGAATGTTTGATAAAAATATTGTTTTGAACATATCTTGTACTTTCCAATTTCTTCAGAGTGAATCATAAATGAAAAAAAAAAATCTAGTTTTAAACATCAAGTGACTAGGATCTTTTTTTATTTATAAATCAACTTAGTGCTTGTGCACTAAGTTGATTTATAAATAATCAAATTTCTTTTTCACACCTATGAAAACAAACCTGAAATGCACACAAAAAAGGCAAGTAACAAAAAGAGCACTTAATTAGTAATCCCTAAG